ATTTTTTAAAAAATTAAGCTCTAGACCAGTGATGGCGAACCTTTTCAGCACCGAATGCTCAAACTGGAATGCATGTGCATGCATGTGTATGTATGCATCTGTCGGAGTGCTGGAAACCCAAAGACCAGCTGGCTGGCATGTGCATGCCTGTTTTTTTGGCTGTTTTTGAGATCATTTTCAGGCTGTTTTTTCAGGCCGTTTTCAGGCCTGGAAAACAGCCTGAATGATGGATGGCCTGAAAACAGTTTGAAAAATGGCTTGTTTTTGACCATTTTTTGGGGTAGTTTTCAGGCCATTTTCCAGTTCTTCGGTGCCTGCAAAGACCAGTGCGCATGTGTGCACTAGAAACCAGAAGAGCAGCTGTTGTTGGCATACATGCCCATAGAGAGGGCTCTGCGTGCCACCTTAAAGAGCCACTTACATTTTTCAATAGTATAATTATGGCAATGTAACTTAAACATTTATGCATAGCGTAGACAGTTTTAAATGAATTTTTTTTAAAAAGTTTTGTTAAATCTATTCAGTCTTAACTTCATTCAACAGCACAGTTCTCTGCAAGTATGCATAGACACAATCTGTAAATCATGAATTATTGAAAATCTTATATTTTTAGAATATGACATTTTATTATCCTTGCCCATTTCATGAAGTCCTATTTATTTTGAGTACTCCTATTTTATGGCTTTATAAATCCATCTTTTAAAGCATAGTATTATTTAAAAAAATTAAAACTGAAAAAAGGTAAATTCCAAATAAATAAATAAATCTGCTGAATAATTTTCAATTGATATTAAATTCTTCTTTGCCACCAATACTATCTAGTCTTTCTTCATTCTTTCATTGGCTCCCTAAGATCATCAACAATACTTAGCCTTTGATTATATGCGCAATTAATAATGATAAAACTAAATATTGTCTTCATCTAGCATTTTGTTGACACCATCGCAAAGCCTCTGGAGGTGAGTCTTGTAAGATCCAAATGGATTGTATAAGGCAGCCAAAAATTCACAGTCCGAGAAATGATCAAACACATGGTTGACACGTCCATGAGATTTTGCAGTCAGATGACGGTGAATTATTTGGTGAAGTAGATCTCTACAATCATTCAAGAGTTTTGATAAAAAATTCCTGTCAAAGGTATAGTCCACTTGATAGAAGCTCACCACAGTTTTAGCCAACTGGTGAACCTTCTTTTTGAACTTCTCCATAAGTACAGTCTCTTCCTGATTAAACTGGTTATTCCGGTGGAGGACTGCTAATTTGATAACAGTCTTAATGAGATTTTTAATTATTTTCTCAGCTTCCTTCTTGTTTTGTATGTATTCCTTTGTCACTCGGTAGAGTTCATCCAACACATCACTGCTGGTATCATCTATCAGAGCAATTGCTATTGATTTGGAAGCCATTTTGCATAGAATTTTCTTTTGGGCCTGAATGGCCAAACTTTTGGAATTAAAGACATCTGTTGCCACTAGAAGAAAACAAACGAATACAAATCAGACATTTCAGTCATTTCCATGTGAATTACAGTTGAAACATTTTAAAAACTCTACAAGGAAAAATAAAAGTAAAGTAACTATTTTAAAGTATTTTATAATATACACATATTTCCTGTACAAACAAAAACAGTGATTTCCCCTCCCCATATAACTGCTAAAATATATTGATTACAAGGAGCTATAGGACTATGACAGTGGTGGGTATCTTTTTTTTTTTACTACTGGTTCATTCGCGCACACGCACAATGTTCCAGAAGCATCTGGACAGATGGGTGCAGCCTCCCACCGCCACCACTACTGGTTCATCCGATCCAGACTGAACTGGGAGAAACCCATCTCTGGACTATAAGTATTGCTTTATTTAATATACATGTAAACAAAAATTATCACATGAATATAAATTAACAAAGTTCTATATATTTGTTTTATAAAACAAATATTTATTGAGATGCATTAGACTTAAACTATCATCTAACATTCCCTCTGAAAGATTCCTACAGATCAAATCCTGGAACTTGGAATATGTCTAAGAAGTCCTAATACTACTCATCACAAAACTATGCTATTAAGCATAGTCTAAACAATTTATTTTAATGTTCAATGATTTCCCCAAGTATATATACCAGAGAAAGTGTTGCAATCTATTGTAAATATATATAAGATAGAAATATATTCACGTGCCCTAAATCAGGGATCCCCAACCACTGGGCTCTGGACTGGTACTGATCCGAGGCCTGTTAGGGGCTAGTGTCTACAGATGGAGGTAAGTGGCAGGTGAGCAAAACTGTGCATGTGTGGGATCTAGATTCTGCACTCCTCCTCACCCCCCCCCTTTTTTTCTTCACATACTCTACATACACATACATAACTTAAGGTATGTCTGTGCTTTCCACTATTTTGAAATTTCCCCCCACTATAATACAATTCTTACAAAATTGCCTTCAAATGATTGGCACTCTAGTTGATGAACCAACTAGGAAATCCACTTTGGGTGACAACACCTACATTACTCTTCTTTACACTTTAGGCCTGAACATTTCAGTGAAGCTCTATATTACATTTTAGCTGATCTTTCTAAATCTCTGCAGCATGTTGATAAAACATTTTCACTTCCTTGAAGAAAACAGCCAAAGGAAGTGCCTCTACTGAATAAAATACTGGAAATATAAAATTGAAAAAAAAGACAAAGCATGACTTTAACAACTTGGCATGACACATTAGATTTAATTAATTATTTTATAAGTTATCTTAAATTAACCAATCAATACAATCTTTGTTTTCACATTTGTTTTTAATCTTACATTTTTCTTTTAATAAATACATTTCACTGTAATTTTTTATTTATGAATGACACATTAGATAAAGGTACAAACTAATATATTAAAAATGTTAATGCAATGCCTAATTAAATGGTCAAATCTATCATCCTTTTTTTTCTGGACAGGCATTAATTATCACAAAGCTTTATGTTTGTACTTCCTGTATTATACAATGTATAGCAAATATTTAGAGGTCTGGTGGCAAACACTTATAGCAACAGCTCTGCAAACCAGAATCAGATATTAAATTAACTTGATAGTAATTACTGAAAGCCAAAGACTCAGTGCATCAACACTTTAATTTTGTTGGAAAGCCTCAGGGATTTGAATATGCAGCAGCAGGTCCTTGCAGTAGGCAATGATTGTTGTCCTCCTTATGTTAATGCACAGTAGGATTTAATGTTTTTAATTCTGAGATGTAGTTACATTTTCATTTTATTTTTATGTTACTTATAAGCCACTTAAAGGCCTTTTGGAATTGCAGGAATAATTTTAAAAAGTTTAAATGCCATAAGAATTTTTTTTTAAAAAGTGTTACCGAAAATTTAGTGGTTTTGTTATGCAATTTTACTGGCATGATCTCAGAGCCGTTAAAGATACAAACCATAAGCCACAATTGCCTAACTCCACACAGAGAGTGACTGCATTGTCAGTAGCTACACTTTTTTAGGTTTCTCTCTTTTTGCTACTCCATACTCCTCTTCCAACTATGGATATATCTATACTCCCTCTTTCAACACTGTGTTTATGAAGAAGTATTCCAAGAAATGCATATTACAGCAATCAAGTTTGCCTTTGAAATAATGATTTTCCTTTTTTACTGGAATAGCCTGAAATGTCTGATCTTTTCAGGTCAGGCAGCAGCTCTCCACTTACTTCAGAGAAAAGCTAATAATTCAAAGCAAGAAATGTGAATTTAGGATTATATTAGAAGAATAAAAATTCGAATTTCACCTATCTGAACACTTTCAGCCTCTCAAGATAATTCATCTGGATTAAGCCTGCTGCTTGTTAATCAGTCTCCCACCCCCTCAAAAAAAAATCAAACATTTTCCCCACAAATATTCATAGTTTCACAAGAATCGGAGCATTTGTAGTTATTTGCAACTTTCTGGAATCCCAAAGAACTAATTCATTCTTATTTCACTTAACTGCTTCCACAGACAATAATTTACCACAGGCAATTCAGCAAGGAACTGTTGAGAAAGTTAAGCTAAATGTTTTATCCAGCTGCAAGCAGATACATTGAGTGGGAGCTTCAGACTTTGCATATGACTTAGTGTTTCTCAAGCTTTAATACAGCTATTGCTTCAGAATACATATGGGGAAAATGGGAATGCTACATAGGCAGAACTTTATAAAAATAAATCTTTATTCAAGAAAAGGAATGAGAACAGGAAGGAGAATACAGAGAAATCCAGACTTGCTCCTTGATTCTTTCCTTCTGCCAACTCTTGTTGAAGTCTCCCCTTTATTTCTCTACTTGAAAACCAAAGGAGATTGTGAAAGAAAATTGTGACAGAGTATGGAGTAAAACTAACTGGAGAAGAACTAAAGAAGGAAGTTCTATTATAGAAACTGCTCTTTTTTTTTTTTAAAGACCCTTTTATGAGTATTACCAAAATGAACTAAAAAAGTACCAACAGTTTTGGGACAACCCACAATGCAATTACCAAATAATACTATTGGAAAATTATGATGCTAAGGGCACATATAACTTAAAACAGTTAATGGATGCAGAGGGGGAGGGGAAATGAAGGTAAATGGAATATACCCAAAGAGGACATAGTTCTTTGATCATTTAGAACCCTTCTTTAAGTTACCTACTTGTCAAATGTCCAATGGGTCAAAGATGTATCATATTTTAGATGTTATGTAAATTAACTTTTCAATACTTTTTCTGAACATATACAACAGATGGACAAATAATGCAACTCTGAATAATTTATTTAATTGTAGGATACACAGCTTGTCCTGTTATATGACGTAAGATGTTCTAGAAAAATTAGTACTCTTATGTAGCCTGGGCCTAATGGTAACAAGTCAGACGGAGTTTATTATTAAGGTAAATATTTATGGCCCACTGAGAAAGGACTTCTTATATCTGGATTTCTAGTTTATATAGAATTTCATTTTACAACTTGGCTGTTTATTTGCAAGATGTTACAACATTACAATTATTACCGCTGACAATAAATCACAAGGCGGTAGTTATAAATGTGCTTGTTACTCTGAAATACACTAATTCCGCTAAGTGAAGGGAAACACGGACTATTAATAAAATGAATACATCAGAAAACATTAGCTACGATTAGTTTCTAGTCTAGTAGCAAGGCTGGCACTGTTAATATAATTACATATTTATGTAATATATAATTCTATTACATATTACATAAATATGTAATCTTTTAAAACATAAGGAAGGGACTGGTAGACGAGATCTCAGAACCACTGAAATATATCTTTCAGAGATCCTGGAGTACTGGAGAACNGCAAATATCTTGAGAAGCACTTCACTTTCCTTTTTCTTAAGACTGATCTGTTCTGTTTAGCTGTAAGTACTGAGCTTTTTACTTGCAGTGCATAATTAATTTTTAAAATAACTATCGCCTAAGGTATAAACCTAACATACTGGTTTCTCTTGTTAGGCTGGTCCTAGGGAACACATGCGCACACCCACATGGCAACTTGACTGCTTATAATTAAGTTATAAAGAATTCAAAAAAGAAAAAAATGCATAATGTTAATACCTTTTATTAATACCACGTGCTTTTCTTGAGTGAATTAATTCATAGAATTGTCAGTATGCTATGTATTAAAAGCCACTTGGGAAACAGAAATATACATATACATATCTCTCACTATAGCATATTTAAAGTTACAAGTAGCATTGAAACTTTTTGATTTTTAAAAAGTATGATTAACAGATTAACATAGGAAACCTTTCAGAGATAAGAGTTAACTATTGCCCCTTTCTTGCTCTGTTGGGCAGGTTTATGTACTTTAATATGTAACTGATGAAGATGTTCAACAAAGATGTAAAATGAAGGGACATGGCTAAGAAACAGAATCAGAATAGAGCTGGAAGGAACCTTGAAGGTCTTCTAGTCCAGCCCTCTGCTCAAGCAGGAGATGCTATACCATTTCAAACAAGTGACTATCCAGTTTTTTCTTAAAAACCTCCAGTGATACAACACCCACAAGTTCTGGATGCAGCTGTTCCACTGGTTAATTGTCCTTACTGTCTTTAATCCCAGGTTGCTTCTCTCCTTCATTAGTTTTCATCCAGTTTCTTGTCCTGCCCTCCGATGCTTTGGAAAATAAGCTGACCCCCTCCTTTTTGTGGCAGCCTCTCAAATACTGGAATATTGCCATCATGTCCCCCCTCGTCTTTCTTTTCTTTATACTAGCCAAACTCAAATCCTGCAACCGTTCTTCATATGTTTTAGTCTCCAACTTTTATTATCTTAATTGCTCTTTTTTGCACTTTTCCAAAAGTCTCAACATATTTTTGGTAATGTGAATACCAAAACTGGGTGCAGTATTCCAGGTGCGGACTTACTAAGGCTTTATAAAACGGTACTAACATTTCAATGCGATTTTTACTCTATGCCTCTGTTTATATAAGGACTGTATTAGCCACACACATGAGC